GTGTATATCTATATACACATATGTTTGCATGTATGTGTATGTGTATATGTTTTTTTTTCCCTGTTAAGAAAATATAGAAGTACTATTTTTGTGTGATAGTGAAGGAATTGCCTCTGGCAAAATTTATAAAATTTGAATTTTTCAACAACAATTTTGATCGGCCGTAGAAGTTCAAAATGTTTTTCGAAATGTCCGCTGCAGATGTTAATGACGTAAGCTGTAAGCTTCATTTATTTAGACAATATAGTCAAAATTACCAAAGAATTTCGAAACGTGTAAGCTTTTAACGTTATAAGCTGACTGATAATCTCATTCGTACAGCTTAATTTATTAAATCAATTTTTCTATCGAATGAAAATTTTATAAATTATTCATTAGTTTTATTGTTAGCATAAAACAATACATAGTATTATTATTTGCAGTGAAAGCTAATCAATAAGTAGATCATGAATCACAATTTTTATTCGATCAGAATATAGTGAAGAATTTTTTTTCCGGTTTCACTTCATCGCTATTTTGTTCTTTCTTTTTATCGGTATGTGTGTTCATACATTTTCTATTCTTATGTGAAATTGTATTCATTGGTTTGGTGTGGATATAATTTCGTTTCGTACCACGTTAACAACGAATAGTTGCCGTAATTATTTTTTCACCAGATCACTATTGTATTAATAGTATTTTTATTTATTTTCTATCGTTTACATTAAGTTACAATGTTGTTCCTAATATGACACGAGATATCCGCTAACAAGTATGAGGTATAACTAAGCATTAAGTGGTCGATAGTATATGAGGGCGATGGTAGTACAATGGGTAGCACAACAGATCGGCGGACATTTGTAAATACGGGTTCGTGTCCCGCCTATGGTTCGAAGATTTCTGAAAAAACACATCAATATTAACACTGTTTTATTATTCGGCACTTATGGTTAGCTCATATATATAAGCTTAAAATCAATATCTATAAAATTAACGCTTTATCGATGATGTTTAGAGTGAGATTTAACGAGTTCTGTTTGAGGTGACTTCTAGAAATTGTTTATGTTGTTTATTTTTTCATTCTTATTTTAGAATACGGTTTTGATTTTCATTGCTGGTCAAACAGAGGAATCGATTTGTGAAGAATTTCTCTTCACGATTATTCAAATGTTTTTCGATTATAATAATCTCGAATATGTCGTATATACATGGCTAATTCCACTTGTAAGCTGTTTTTTTTCTTCCTTTCTTTTTACCTCAATCTTAAATGATTTTCAGATTTTTTCATGAGTCCATTTCTGATTAGTTCTTTTTTTCTGATTACTGTAGAATTTTTTCTGCAAATGCAGAATATACCTCATTATTTTTACGAAACGTGGATAACTCTTAGAAAAACTTATTATATTTCAATGTTTTTTGAAACCGTTTCCCGTTTTTTTAATATTGCCCTACGATTTTTCCTTTGTAATTTCTTTAATCAATTATCCCAATCACATTTATACGAAGTGTTGGAACGGTGGAAAAATTATTACGGTATTTAATTATATTGAACGTTTTATAAACCGTAATTATTTTTTCATCTACCTAAATATAAGTGAGTCAAATTCGTTTCCTCGTAGATATGAAACTGTTTATCATTGTTTTTATCATAACTGCTAATTTATTTTTATAAATTTTTAATTGACGAATTGATAAAATTTTAGTTTTAGCTATTTCGAGGGAAAAACATGTCTTTAAAAAATATTTGCACTTGTATTGAGGGCTAGTTTATGTTTCAATCGAGTCAAAAAAACAAAGTTTGTCCTCACAAGAAATTTATGACTAATCTTGGGCTTCAATATTTATCGTACGTTTTTTCATCTGATTATCTATCGAATATGACGATACCGTAATGATCGATTTAGTAGATCAATGTCATTAGACGAGGAAAAAAAGAGGTAGAAGAATCACAAACAAATTAAAAGCAATCAAATGATAACAATTGAGGTTTCAATTTCAAATCTTGCTTTTAATTAAAAAAAATCTGATCGTCGTAATTGAATGTACTTTTTGACGAGTGCAAACAGCAATGAGGTAGTAAATTGTACTTGTTGCACTCTAAATCGATCCAAATGCTTGGTCCTCACAAATAAGTGAAGATTTCCTCATAAAAAGACCTATTATTTGCCGTATAAAATGATTCGAATCCGTTCTCTTAACAAAATTAGTATATTAAACATACAAGTGACTATGTTTTTCTATACGAAAATGAGGGTGAGTCTCCATAAATGTACCTCATAAGACTTTTTTGTTTTCTTGCAAAGAAAATAATATCCTAAACAATGATCGAGACTCCTAAATTCCCTCTTTGAGATTTTGTTTTTGTTTACAATTGTAAAAATTTCCAATGAGTACTTTTTTTTTGATTTCGATAATAAAATGAATCGCATAAAAATTTTAGTCACACAAAAACGAGTCACTTCTTTTTCTCATTATAAATTTTTCATTAAATGAGTCTTTATGAGTTAAATAAAAGCCTGAGAAGATATAAGAAACGTTTATGACGATTTATCAATATTGTGTCATTAAAAAATATTTAAAAAAAATTATAATAAAAAGTAAATATTATTTAGAAAATTGTATCGAGTGAATTTGATAACAGTAATAGAGGTAATTTACCTCAACTTTGAGTATAAAAACGAAAATTCACTTAAAGATGATGTCATATATGTAGATAATAACGCACTTATTCTCATGTAATATTCTATCTGAGAAGAAAATTAGACATCATCAAAGCTTCTGTTAACACAGAAGCTCATGATCAACTTCTCAGTGATCGCACCTTTTATGCAAATTCAAAATGAGTTATGGAAGTGATTAATGATCACTACGGTCTATTCAATATCTTTCGGAGTCAAAATCTCTATTCGATTAGTCCTCGTTGCTTTTTCATGATGATTTCGGTAAGAGTTCATCGACGGTAAAGTGATTCACAACAGTGAGTTCAGTGTGGTTTGAAGTAGGATCGATCTCACGTGCATCTAGTGATAAATCAAAAGATATCATTTCTACAAAATCTGTTTGTAATAATGTTTTTTTTATTCATCTATGTATGTGTGTTTATTTGTTGTTTACTTGTTTGTTTTATATTTCAGATATATGTAGATTATATAAAAATATACTTGTAATAAAATACATATGCATATGTACATAATTTAAGAGCATAAAAAACGAGTAATTGAATTGGTCGCGCATTGATCTCGTTAATCTCGCGCATATTTCCCTCACTTTATTCCTCTGCTTTATATTCTTTTAACATCATTGCACTCCTTTTGCCTCTATGTAATTATCACTCGTCAACAAAAAAAAACCGACTCAAAGTTGCAGTTTTTTTTTGTAGTAGTCGTTTTGCGCTAAGGAAGCAAATTGAATGATATGATAACTGATAACTGCAGAATATTATGAGGGAAAAATAGGTGATTAGCAAGTGAAGAGGAAAGCTGATAAACCTCACAAAGTAAAAAATTATGAAAGCAAAAGAGGGAAAAATTGCTTATAGTGCTATTATGATACAGTTCAAGCGATTCTAGTGCTTCTATATTTTTTATAGAAACAAATAAAATTAATTAAATTTACGAAAAAAATTTTTTAGGGAAATATTTATCAGTCTAGAAAACCATTTAGAAAATTTTTTCTTAGAATAAAAAAGGTAAGAAAAAATGAATTTTTCCGGATAGAAAAATTTTTCAATTAAAAAATAACAAAAATATACTCTAACAAATTATAGTAAAAAAACTATATATAATTATAAATATTATAAATATTTTAGAATAAAATAGAAGCTGATTTTTCTTTTTCAGTGTAAATTGAATTGCATTGATAACACAAAAGGGAAAAAAAATTTGATTTATTTACATAAAAAAGATCATCAAATGCGATAAAATAAATCAAAGTGTAAATTTTTACCTATTTTCAATCATTAGAAAAATTTCGTTACGGTAAGTTGAGTTAAAAATTGAGGTCAGAAAAAAAAAAGCATTATTACAGATTTGCATACCTGGTGTTGTAGCTGCAGCGCTTTCAGCTATTGTATTTGCTCGAATTCGTCATTCATCTCTTGAGGTAAATCAATTACAGTAATTTTTCTCATAAAGTAAAATTTTCAGTAGATCATGTTCGGTAGATCACTAACAATCTAATTTTTTGATTTTTTCTCTACCGTATTACGGTACACTTCCGTAAAAATTGATTTTTCCCATTTTTTTTTGTTCTACTGCTGCATAATGAATATTTAATTAAATGTTGACAAAATCAAAAATAAACATCTTGATCTTCCAATCAATAACTTTTCCGATAAACAGTTTTTTGTTGTTTTTTATTTTTTTGTTATCATTTAAATGCATTGCGAGATTTCTTCCTTGTGTTGTGAATGAGCAGAAAATAGATCAAAATTTTATCAGACATCTATCTCAAAGCCGAGAAGATTGCAGTTTGTGCTTTGAAAAAAAAATTGAATAACGTCTGGAAAAATAAGAACGATTCGATGTAGATCAACTGACGATGACGTCATTTTCAGGTGTTATTGTGTGGATTGTCGTTATTTGATGTGCTCGTGCTTTTATCAACGTTATTTATTTATCCGGCAATGAATGCATGTCAAAATGAACCAAATCCGGTATGTTTATTATTTATTTATTCTAAAATCACGTCATTTCTATGATCTACCAGCTATTTAAAAAAATGTCTCGCAATCAACAGCTTTCCTCAACGGAGTGACAAAGACTCACATTAATAGCTAATAAATCATACAGTTAAAATGAAGAAAAAACATTTCTTTAATTGATTTTTCTCGTCTGTGTTTTCTTTTCGTCCGTTTCATTTTCAAATACAAAACATAATACAATAAAAATACGTTTGCTCAAATGATTACACGACGTATAGCGCAGTGATAGAAAGCGCTGCAATGTCACGAATAAGGTAGATCGCATCCGGCTTCAGGCTAACCAAATCCATCAGGCCTTTAGAAGAGCTGTATTGATATTAAAACAATTTCGAATTAATATGCAACACTTACTTAATAACGAGTATTTACCCTCAAGTCATTGTGTTGACCGGATTTTCATCTAATTACCTCCACTTGATCAATAAGTTGGATGAAGCATTTCGCAAAGGATGCATTAATTCGAAATCCTTTAAAGTAGTGTCCAAAAATTGATATTCTAACTCACTGTGAGTATTTTCCTGGAAGAGGTTTCACTTTGTCGCACTGAATTAGATATTGCGATGTTAATTCTATGCATATTTCACTTCACTCAAAACTAGGAAGCATTGTTATATCAACTCCTCATCCTTCTGGATTAATTTAACCCTCGTTGATTGCTAGCCAGATTAGCGCAACCACAAGTACTTGAGAATGAACTGCAACTTACCGTATGCTAGTACAGTATCCTTAACCAATGCGCTACACACTATATGATGTCAAAGAATGGAGTTTAATAGTTTTCATAGGTTCTTATACATCTAATGAGGAAAAATTTTCTATTTATTCATGATTGAGTTAAAAAATACCCTTAGGTCTTGCAGTGAAACACTTTTCACTCAATTTAATAGGAAAAATATACCATTACATCGCTAATGTATTTAGATTATCACTATGGAAATCAAAAAAAAAACCAATGAAAAGAAACAATTTGTCAATAACTTATTTACCAACAAAGGAATAATTAAACAATGGCTTATTACTGCCATCTGATTCCTATTTGTATTCGAATCATTGAAAAATGATGTGAATAAATTTTTGTTTTTCAGCTTATAATAGGAGATTCAATAGAGAGGATTTAAATTATTGAGAGGGCATAAAATTAGTAAACATTTTCGCTTTCAAGGGAATCTATTTAATTTCGAGAGTTCAA